AAAGGAACAATTAACCCCAAATGAAAATTTGCTGAAAATGTACTCACCCTCAGGCCATTCAAGAGGAAGAGTTTGTTTATTCATCAAAAAAGATTTGGAGAAAATTAGCATTATGTCACTTGCTCACCAATCCTCTGCAGTGAATGGGTGCCGTCAGAATGAGAGTCCAAACAGCTGATAAAAACTTTACAGTAATCCACAATTAATCCACGTCTCCAGTTCATCAATCAATGTCTTGTAAGGTGAAAAGCTGCATGTTTTTAATAAAAAAAAACAAAAAAACATCATTAAGCCATTGCTTAAATTTATTTATTTTTGATGGATGGAAGTTAAAATTCCTTTAAGGAAAAGGACACATTTGTTTGCATTGTATTATGTGATTTCACTACAATGCAACAGAGAATATTTGCAGTGTAGCCTGCTTCACATTTTAAAAGGTGGTTGAGTTAAAAAACAGAGACTGAAGAGCTCTTAAATAGTGTCTAGATGATTCATTGTAAATTTTCAGGTTGGCAGTCACAGTACCTTGTAAAAGTCGGAAATAATAAATGTAAAATCTCTCTTGAAGCTGCTTTGTGCAGTATATAGAATATGTACAGTAAAGAAAAATACTTTATTTATAAAGCAGATGGAGCATTATTTTTTATCAGTACACAGATACTTTGTGATTTTCTGTAAATTAAAAGTTGCATAAACCTTAAACTTCATTGCATCTTCTTCTGTCAGTTGTGCACAGGAAGCAACAAATGTAATTAATCTAATAAACAGATATTATTTTTGTGATTAGGACTCTTGTATACAATATATACAGCTGCTGCCGATGTGGCATTAAATCTCTGCCATGGTATATACTGTACGGTATGTTACTTCAGACACAGCTTCTGTGTTGTTTTTACAGAGTGAAGACATGTTTTGCCACTGTCTGTGTTTAATAACACATTCCCGGCAGCCTGTACAGGCCGGAAAAGTGAAAACAGCTATGTGGGAACAGAGGCACCATGAAACAAACCCCAGCAGGATGCAAGGCAACACTTGTTCAGGAAGATACAGTTGACACCATTAGAAGAAACTAAAAACACTTGTTAACATCAGAGTAAAAAATCTGACTGGGAGCTTTGCAGTCTTTTCCCTCGGACCTGTAGAGTTCCTTGACTGTGATCTCCATGCCGCTTGATGTTGCATGGCTTTCTATAAAGGAGAAAAAAGCATGTTAGGGTTTATTTTTGAGTTGAATTCACATGTATTGTACAAAGGTGTTGTGTATTTAGTCATTTGAGAACCTTGATACTGCTAGATGTGTTGCTAGTTATTTGATACTGTGCTGTGAACAGTTGTACGGGACTATTCCTGGAATTTGTGTTTAGAGCTGTTTTTAGTTTAATGTAAAAAAAAAAAGAAGTTATTTAACTACTTCAATTTTGTAACGGAACACCTTTTTTCCCCCTTCCTACAAAACACTTCAGTGCCTAAAAGCTATTCTGCTAATTGTGTATTGTGAAAAAAGGAAATGTAGGTAATGCAATTGATTACAATTTATAGAGGAGTTACTTAAAGGGGGCATAACAAACACAGTTTCACCCAATCTCATGTTAATCTTGAGTACCTATAGAGTAGTACTGCATCCTTCATATCTCCAAAAAGTCTTTAGTTTGATCATATTTATAAAAGAAAGATACAGCTTTACGATTCTCTCCGGAAAAAGCAGAGCTCCTGGAGGCGCGCCGTGGGCGGAGCTAAAGAGTGACGAGCACTTGGGTGCCGAATGCCAACAAAACAGATATTTGATGCTGTTTCACTTACCATCTGCAGTTCCAGGTCATGACCGGGATCTTTTATAGCTGGGATCGCTCCATCTTTCAGTATCAAACGATGTGCAAATCCAGTGTCGAACTGGGCCTTGTTTATAAAATATTCGTCAACAAAAACACTTGTGAAACTCCGATGCTGCCCTGGAAAAACAAACTGTATCCACTGTTTACATAACGCTGGGTTCTTTAGGAAGCTGAACAAAGTTATCTTTCCCTTACAACCAAAAACACACTTCTTTGGATTGGAGACATTCTTCCCGAGCAAGTCCCGTGCAGCGCTGCCGCCGGATGAATCGCGTTGATGGGTGCGATCTACTATTTACTATGTATCTATGAACTTTCCTAGATGGAACCGGAATGCAGTGTTTATAGTTTACAATCCATGTCTATAGGCCACTATACATATGCGTTGTCCTTTTCTGATTGATGGGAGCACAGAGGATAAAGACTCACTATCCAAACTAGCTTTCAGCCTCTAAAAAGACTTGACAGGAGTCTCATAATAAGATCGGTTGCAAATATTTCAGCACCTCTTGAGCTGGACATTTGAGTCTGAAGGAAAACCCCCCTGCTGTGTTGGACACTCTTTGTGCTCCTGTCCAGGGCAGGTGTTACAAACTACAACCAGCCGCTTTGCTCGTAGTCAGGAAGAAAACTACCGATGAGGGGTCAAAGTGCAAAAACAAAAGGAACAAAATGCTGAAGTAAAAGATACATATGTAAAAATACATATAATTCTATAGTGTACAAAAATGCATATATTCTATATCTATACAACACACTTCAATACACATACAAAAGTATACACAGGACACATAGCTAATCTACATTAAGTACCTTTGGAAGATGTTTTGTAATTGTCAAAAGTTTGGAAAAATAATAAAGATTTTTTGTGTTTTTGAAGGATATCTCTTATGCTTAGCAAAGCTGCATTTATTTAATCATAGATACAGTAAAAACAGTAATACTGTGAAATATTGTGACAATCTAAAGTGACCATTTTTTATTTTAATATATTTAAAAAAAAATCACATTTATTTCTGTTATGGCAAAGCTGAATTTTCAGCAGTCATTACTCCAGTTTTCAGTGTCATATGATCCTTAAGAAATCATTCTAATATGTTGTGTGCTGCTCTATAATTATGATAAATTATTATTGGTGCCCAATTATTAATAATGGTTCTTATTATCAGTGTTGAAAATGGTTTTTGCTCCTTTATTTTTGTGGAAAATGTGATGCATTTTGTAGGCCTCTTAAGGAAAAATATAAATTATTTGTAACGTTATAAATGTCTTTACTGTCCCTTTTGATCAATTTAACGGATCCTTGCTGAATAATTTTCAAACATTTTCAACACAATTTACAATGCACATATAACACACACACACACACACACACACACACACACACACACACACACACACACACACACACACACACACACACACACAC